GGTCTGTATTATATATTTATTATTTTAGGCCTAATACAGAAAGTTATTAGTTGCGAACAGAGTAGAAGCATATGATTTAACCCAGAAAAATGACTCTGATATAATACCAGTTGATTCTTAATGCTATAACATTTGTTAATGAAGTATAAAAAATTGTAAAATCAAGTACGATTGAACGATGTTGGAAAAAACAGGTATTTTATCTGATTATGATGAATATAACTCTGAAGGTAGCAACTCTGAAGAAAACAATTTGGACTGGAATCAAGAAATTGATAAAATTACTTCAGAATTGCAAAATATGATTGATGCACTAAATTTATGAGATCCTATTGCAGCTGAAAAATTTATTCATATTGATAATGAAACATCAATAGGACCATTATCAGATAAAGAAATAATAGATGCGATAATTTCAAATCCTGAAAAAAATGATATAGAAGAGGAAAAGGAATCAGCGAAAATTAATATTATTACTAACAAAGAAGATTTAAATAGTTTGGAAAAGGTAATTCGATATTTTAAAAATCCTCCTGATAATATATCAATTAATTATACGAAGTTAAAAGTTTTTAGTGCTTTAAAATCAAAAATTAATAGATGTATTCAAGGCAATATGAAGCAATTTATATTAGATAATTTTGTGCAATGTTAAATTTTTGAAATAAAAAAATTTTAAAAAAATCGCGTTATAAGAAATTTTTTTTTATTATATAAAATTTACTATAAAGAGATTTTTCGCTATTATGAATACTTTGTTATAGTAAACAAATTGGATAGAACTGAGAGTTCACTATAACAAGCTTTGACTGTAGTTTTCTTCTCTTGTGATAGGTGCTAGACTTATTAGTAATGTTAATAGACTGCAACTCCAGAATATATTATTTATAATAGAAATTACGACATAATTATTAAAAGAATACTATTATAATAAACAAAATGAGTATTTAGAAAAATATAAATATTGAAGCTGAAAAAAGTGCACAAATTACTTTGATTAAAGCTATTGAATATATTAAAGTAAAAGGAGAAAGAGTACTTTTTACCAGTTTTGACTATTTTTGATCACATTATTAAAATGCTAATCAAGCTAGTAAGGAATTAATATTTTAAGAAAATCAAGAAAATCTTGAAAGTATAGAAAAAAAATCTAATAAATAAGAATCAGATTAATTATTATTTTCTAAAATTTTTTTTATATATAGAATATAATTACAAATCTATTGTTGCATTTAAAATAACATAAAATAAAAAGAAATAATCAAGAATATGAAGTTTATTATAGTAATTTTTAAAAGACATCAAAGGCAAATGAAATATACAATCTTATTACAAATTATTGAGAAAATTATACTTGTATTAAAAGCTGCTATGTACTTTTAGATATTGGAGTTAATAGAGATTTAAATTCAAACAAAACTTTAAATATATTTTTATGCTTAAGCAAAATATATACAAATTTGATGCATATTGGTAAAAATATTAGAAAAAGATTGGTAAGATTTTTTAAGATTTAGGAATAATTTTTAAGACTATTAAATCTAATTATTTTATCATCATTATAAGTTTATCACAGGTAGAATGCTATTCAATCAGGCATAATCCCATTTGATAACTATTAAACTAATTGGGTATTCAATTGTATAATATAAAATAATTGGTATACACAAAAATGGGTAATCAATAAGGTACATTTCTAATAGATATATATAGGTAAAATAAAGTTTAATCAGTATTAACCCGATTGATAACTATTAAACTAACCAGTTAACCTG